GTCGCATAAATGCAGGAGAAGAGGCAGTATAAATATCTAGCCCAGTTCAGCTTAACAATTTTGTAATTAATCGAAGAGATATGGGTGTAACAATTTTAAGGGCGAGAAATAATATTTTCTAAATCTACTGCTTGGATAAAGGTAGGGATCCGGTGCCAAAGCTTTGATTTATCAATGCAATTTTAATTAGTTGAAAAATTATAGTACATCATCTTCCTTTGCTGTATTTACTTCAACTTGTTTTTCTTTTTTTCTTGTTTCATAAATTTCTTCCATAAAATAAGTTAGCGTTATAAGCATATTTAAATATGTTGGTAAATAATTTTTAATTAATTCTTTTTTGTTTTCTTTTAATTTATCAACATATAAAAGAATTATTGGTCTATAAATTTGCTTCCAAACATCTCGATGATCTTCAGTAAAATATTTATCTAACCAAAGAATATTTAAAATAAGTGCTGAAGATACAATTGCACAGTTACGCTCTAAATTATTTTCTGAATCTAGTGCTTGGATGTAATCTTCATACAGCCATTCAAGTAATTGGTCTTTATCTGCATCTAAAGCTATATTTACAATAAATAAAGTGTAAATATCAGGGGGATACAGCAGCCAAACACAAGTCTAGTACGGCAAAGCATCTAAAATTATCGAACCCAGGGAGATGCTCTATCCTAACGACCTTAATTAAATCGTACGGCGAGATTAGATGGAAGTAGATCAACTATAGAATATAGTTGATGTATCCGTTCCAGGAGACACTGTAAGATCTCCCTCAAACTAGAACAGTAAGGAATCGGAACTAAGGAATTGTCAGCTTTTTCAAGGATATTAATGCTCGAGCAGTAAGTCGAGTAGTAAGCTTGTATAAAATGTGTCTTTAGAATCTTCCAGTTTTTCTTAATTTTCTGTTTCAAATTTTTATAGAAACGGTTTAGATTTACCAACAGAGTGTAATCTTTCCGGGTTTAAAAGCGTCTTAAACTGCTTTAAAAATAACAATTTAATTTTCTCATTACCTATTTTTATGAATACCAACATGGGATCATCTGTTGATAAAAGAATTGATCTAATATCATCAAAATTAAATTCTAAAAGTTGAATAATTTGACTCTTTGAACCTCTTTGATTAATTAATTCACGGAATTCAGAAAATTTAAAAAGTAACATGTTTAAATTATTTGTGTGTTGCTCAAGTAAATAATTTTTGTTGGGCGGTTTTATTGTTAATAAATACGTTATTGACAATTTTCCTTTTTTATTGCTTAAATTAATAATTTTTAGGAAAAAAGTCGAACACCCTTTCCTTATATTTAGGCACAATTCGGTTTTGAGGGATGTGTTTTAGTAGAGATGTTCTCTTAAACCGTCCCAATTAATTTCCCACATTGACGTAGTATCAAGATTCGACTGACACCAACCTAGGAAAAAATGATCAGTCGTCCCAAGGAAAGTTAAGCGGATATCTTTGAGTTGGAGAGTCGAATGCTTCTATTAAACTTTCTTGGTATTTCTAAGATTGGTCTGGATGTTACTATTTTAATAGTAAGATTTACTATTTCTATCCTCATCGGAATCTTCATAAATAAAACCCACTCCAAAGAAAATAAAACTAATTTAAAAATGTTAACTACTTCTTTTGTGCCTCAAAACGTTCCAACCAATAGTTTTGTAATAAATCAACTTTATTTCTATCGGGATTATTAGTTCTAATATTTTTATCCCAAAATGAAGACAATTCTGTTAAACTATCTTTTTCTAAGTTCCATAAACTTTCAAAAACATAACTGATTTCTATTTGAATAAGTACTTTTTCTTTATCTTTTGCTTCAATTTGATTCGAAATTAATATTTTATATAATTCTAATTTATAGGAGGATTCGATTATATCTGTGTAAATTTATAAAAATTAATCTTTAAACCCAAACTTATTGAGTTGGGAGTTACTGAATATATCTAACTGTCCCACTATTCTAATTTCATCTGATCGCTTTATCTTAGTTCCTCCTTTGTATTAGTAGCTTTTACTTGTCATTTACAGAGGAAGAATACGATGTATCTTATATTCATACCTAAATTATACTTATTCACAGTTGAAGACAATTCCACATTACAGTAGATTCTACCTACTACTTACTCATTTTAACGTCACATAAACTCCTACATGTTGTACAAGTTAGGTCTGACAAAATTGTGGATTTCCCAGGGTCAATAATATGTATCAGTTTCCCTACATTTTTTCTTATTTACCTACATTATTTACCTAGCTGATTTACCGACACTTTAAGCTATTCCTCGCTTGCCCGTTTGATTTTTACGTAACAGATATAATTAAAATAAGCCTATCCAAAATGTAAGTAATCATATTCGTTATTAATGTGAAATACAGCACATACATACTTTTCCTAATTCTCAAAAAATAAAACAATCAAAATCTACATTATTTACCTAGCTTGTCAATACGAAGCGCAGTAAACTTTATAAAAATATTTTTTAAACTTACCAATTCTAAAAACAATCGGTTTTTGCATTTCCAACCATGGAAACATTAAACGGCCCAATATTTCTCTCAATTTAATTTTCATATTTTGAATTTTATTTTTACTTTCAAAAGAATCCTTCAAACATAATGAATACAATTTTGAGGCTAATTCACTTTTTTCTCCATTTTTATTTCCCAAACTTTCAAATTTCGAAGGTATTAAATTGTTGATTGCTTGCAGATGAAACCGTTCAATTAAATCAATTACTTCTGAGGACAATTCTGAATCACCGGCCATGTTTTTCTTTATGTATTCTGAATTAAAGTTGTGTTTATTAGGAGTAATTCTAATAGTCTACAGATTTTTATTTTACCATTTTAGAAAATTATAGTAAGTTAATTGAAGGGGTGTATTAGGAATGGGTGTATTATTTACTAATGGATGTATTAGCTGACTTGAGATTTTGATAAAGCAAAGGTGTGTTTGAACAGCGGGAAGTATCAAAGACAGAAAAAGCTAACACTAAACATGAAAAATAGAATAACGACCAACTAGAACAACGACCAGCCTGTACATAGGAAAACAATTTCATATGAACAGACAATTTATAAGAAGGGAGCTTATTTAATCGGTTCTCTAAATAGTATAATAAAAATTTGGAAATAAGCGCTGGTGATCGTCAAGCACACATCAGGAAATTCTTATCTTAGGAGATTCTTAGGCACGCAGACATATCGGGACGGACATATCGGGATATTTCAATGTTCGAACATTTACCCTACTGATTTCGGGACTGGGTCTTGGATAGTCTTGGATAGTATATTGTCCTATGGAATAGAGTTTTTATGTTTTAGAACAACACCAATCCTGATATATTCGTCCCGATATGTCCGCACACCGATCCTTATACAACTCACAAGAATCTCCGGACCGATTTTCGACTGTAATAAAAATACATAACTAACCATATTTATTCACAATTTCCTCCATTGTAACGAAATCAAACTTATCATCAATAATAGATTTCAGCATGAAAAAAAATTCTGCAAAAATATTTATTGAAGCTATTCCATAAGTATTTAATTGTAAATTACTGTCGAGTTTACCCGCAGCAATATTAAAAGTTTCAAGCATTTGTTCAATTACCCCAATTTTATGCTCAATCATTTCTACTTGCATAAGTTCCTTTTGTTTTACTTTATTTTTTAATTTTTTCAAAGATTTTGATTTATAAAATTCTTTTAAAGAATTTTTTTCTTTTTCCAATATTTTTTCGACAGAATTTTTTTTCTCAAAAATTTTTTGTCCAAGCAATGTAATTGTGATTCTCATATGTAAATCGTCAACTTCTTCATCAGAAAGATCATCAAAAAGTAATTGAACGTAGGCTTTATCAAGAGATTGATTTTCTTTTAGTACTTTAAAATAGCTAGATTAGTATGACAGACCTAGATTATAGCTAACTAAACAAGTAGATAGACCGGTGCCCGGAAAATTTGGATCCAAAATTTTTCGGAAAATTGGGCTCCAGTGGCTCTAAGTGAAAAAAACGGAAAATTGGGCTTTAATCTTTTAGGCCCGAGGATTTGTGGGCGTTGGATTATAGTATATACCTGGGCCAGAGGAATTGACTAAATTATAACGGGGTACTTTATATTAAGGTCTACCAGTTACTTAAGAAAAAAAACATAAAATAGTATTTAAAATAATGTAATAATTATTTTTGGATTAAAAACTTACAATTTAACGGAAGTTCCCGACCTAAAACATTTTTTAATAAAATTGAACAAAATATTAATTTAAATAAAATCATTTTATTTTGTAAAAGATTCTAAAAATTATTTAAAAAACAAAGACAAAATTTTTCAAAATTCTTGAAAAAATTGTTGCCAAAATGGGTAAAGTAGGTCTAATTTTCTTAAAATTGGCATTCATCAAAATAATTTCAAGTCAAGATTTAATAAAGTTTTAATTCAACGGTCCCTAATAATTTTTAGCTAAATTATAATTTAATTCTTAGGATTTTTAAAAATAATTAGCTAAATAAATGAAAAATCTTAAAAGTTAAAGCAGCCGGAAAGGCAAAATAAAAATTTCAAAATACTTATAAAATGCCCTTTAAAAAATTTTTTCTTTTGTCGGTGTCTTACAAAATATGTAGATTATTACATAATTCTATGTTTATTTACGCAATTTGTTATTTTTAATATTTTTCATGTGATAAGGACTTTATTAAAGAGAAGGTAAAAGTGCATTAAAAAATTTTTTTGTTTATTTTTAATTAAAAAAAATTAGAAATTTATTTGAATAAAATAATTTATTTATAATTAATTACACAGAAACACTTTAATACATTTCGAGCAGAATTGTTGTGTTGACTTTTGATTTCAAAATTTAATAGTAAACATACATATTGATGTTTACTATTAAATTTTGAAATCAAAAGTCAAAATTTTGATTTTCGAAATTCGAATATTTTTTGTTTAAAAACACCTCTGGTTAACCGGCTTATGATAGGATAAATATCAGTTTCAGCGTTAGTCTAAATTGGGGTTGTGTAATTACGACGCAATCCTTGTCTAAATAATAAATAAAAATCACCCCGATTATTGCAGGAAGTATCGAGAAAAACGTAAATTTAGGGAGAGCCTATATAACTCTAGAGGAACGGCTAGTCACTTATCTGGTTCGTGCCCCCATTTGCATTTCTACCTACTTTGTTAATCCTCTTGGAAAATTTCGGACAAATCCCGGACATAAACAATTATTAAAAAATTTTATCTAATTAAAAAAATTATAATTTAATTAATGTTCATGTTCTTCATTAGTTGAGTGTGTAATTCCGTGTGAATGTGAATGCCTTAAATTTATATAAAAAATAATAATTATATGATTGCAGACTGACATTTGCGGATATAACTAAAGCCTAATATCTTTAGGGAAAGGGCCAAAGTTTTTTCGGACATAAGCAAATTTTTAGCGGACATCTGAAAGTTTTAGCGGATGTCTGCAAATAATGTCCGCAAATTAATGAAATATTTACGTTGTTAATTCATATATCTGTATTATATTTATAACAAGAAATCCAATAAATATAGCAGCTAATTGCAACAAATTTGAATGGTCATTTGCACGCTCTTGAGCTAATACTTCAAGGAATGTTACATAAATAAAGGTTCCTGCGGCCAAAGATTCTAAACCAATAATTATTCCTTCCTTTGGTAATTCATTTATTTCGAGATTCTACATAAAAATTGAAATTTAAAATTGAAGTTTGTGAAAAGAACATTCTTCATAAACTAGAGGGCAAAGATATGATGCGGAATATTTGCCGAGACCGTGTCTGCAATGACAATAACTAGATCTTAATTTTTTCGGTCATAGAAGACAACATTTTCGTATCTACTAAATAAGTTATCCAATAAATATTCCCTTAGCTAAACTAATTAACAAACATTAAATCTCTTACAGTAATAAAATCACCAATAATAGACCCAATCGGAGTCATTAGAGCATAAGCAAGAATTAAAGACCCAACAATAATTAAAGAATTATTTCCAGATTTATTTATTTGTAATCCAACACTGAAGGCCTCAATACTTTTGTGAATAATTAAAGAAATAAATAAAGTTAATATTCCAGCAGAATTATCCTTTTTTAATTAAAATTTCTAAAAATTTTTTTAGAAAAAAATACTTGCACTCCAAGAGCAAACCCTTCAAGTACTGAATGAAAAGATATTGCAAAAGCAAATGTTAATGATTTAAGTAAATCCGTTGTTTTTGATTCTTCATTTAAATATTTGTCTATTACTACTCTAATTTGAATGAAAAACGTTAAAATTATTTTTTTTAATTTTATAATTAGTAATTTTTATTTATTGTTCCATATAGGCCTTAATTGTTATTTAAACTCATAATTAAGTGAGACAAGTTTTAGGCTGTGTTTGGAAGCTCATACCAAAATTTGTACATCGTACTTGCGTACGAGCAGTGACCCGCCGACAAAGACCCAAAATTCCCGACTTAGGAAATAGGAATTCCCGAGAAAAAATAAATTAGCAATTTCGAGAATCGGAATCCGACCAAAAAGCGTCGGGAATTCACAAATTTCGGGAATAGGGACGGCAGGATCCCTGGTACGAAAGTACTAGCACGAGCTAGTTTCTAAATTCCAAACACTGATTTTAATTTGTTTTAAAAATTGGTGCTTATTTGGAGAAATTTGGAGCTTCTCCTAAAATTTGAAAGTTGGGTTTAATTGATCCGCTCTAACGGCCCTCACAGAACCCAACAAGTTTTTGTGAATAGAATTTTTGGGAAATGTTCGGATATCCGAGACGGAGCCGAAAAATCGCTCATCTAGTGAGACATTCTTCGGTTCGATTCCGAAGGACAACTCTATCTATAATTTTATACTTTGTAAAAATATATTAATTTATACTCATGTGTAAGCATATCAAGACAAGAAGAGCAATGTTTTAAAGTTTGTGTTACTTGTTGAATATCTATTTCATTATTATTTTTAATTGAATTCATAACACAATCAGGTTTAGAGCAAATAGAAAGGGAAGAATCTTTCCCATCAATATTGCCTAAATGTCGAGAAATTGTTCGGCATCTTTTACGTTTTTCTCTTTAAAAATTTTGTTTTAATTTTTAAAAATAAAAAAAATATTTTTTACGTTTGTGGTGCAAAAACTTTGAGAATAAGCTCTTCCAATAAATAAACTAGGAAAAATCCTAAACAAATAATAAATTCAGGTAAAGGAAATTCGGTAGACCAATTTGCTTCTTTTCGAAAATGGGCATAATGTTCACTAAATTAATTTAAAGAAAATTATTTTAGTTTTGAACTAATCTTTAATTCAAGAAAAAAATATTTTTTTAAGCTGGGAATTTTCGAGATCTCAAAAAACTAAACTCTGATATAATAATCGCTGATAATAATCTCTGATTTTTCCCGTCTGATTCTTTATGTTTGATTTTTTATTAACATCGCTTTCAGAATTTCGATAATTTATTATTCTCAGTAATCCTTAAGATCATTGGCTCTAGGAAGAATGATAATTCGGGTTCGAATTCGGGTTCGAGGTTCGAAATAAACAAATTCTAAGCTCAGATTCTGACTTAGCACACTCCATTACCTACTCAGATTAAGAATATCGAAAGAGCACTTTATTTAGCATTTTCCTAGGGACCAATGATCTTAAGGATTACCTTATTTTCTTCTGATTGTCAGATCAGAAGATATCTAAAATGTTTGAGACCTTGAGGAATCACACTTTAAAATTAATTGCACATTGTATGGATAATTAAAGAAACTATTTGTATTTATTTTAAAAATTATATTAAATAATTATTTTATTTTCAATGTAATGCTTACTCCCCTTCAATCTTAATGATCTTTAAATCCATATATCAAGATTTAAAATAAAAATTAAAACCAACTTAATATGAGGGAATATATCTAGAAAACAAGTCCCCATAAATACTCCTCCTGCAAAACAAGAAAGTAAAGTTAATATCCACTCCGTTCTTCTGTTTTGAACTTCTGCCAATCTGTTTAGTTTGCGCCTCAACTTTAAAAATTTTTTTATGAAAAACAGATCTCAAATCTTAGGTGTCCAAGACTAGTGGCTTTGTGCCTTAACATAACACTTTATAGGGTTTTATGCTCTTGGTACTAGAGTATTTTAAGAAAATTTTCAGTGTACTGGATAGCCTATCATATCTTTATCGAAATTCTTCAGGTTTTTGTCATCTTAGTTTCAATCTCAATTTAATAAATAATTATTATTAAGAACCATTATAGCAGCAATTCCTGCAAGAGAAGTGACAGAAAACATAATTGCAGAGAGAATAAATTTGAGTAAAAATGTTTTCATTTTTTTTATTTATTCAATTAAAATAGAAAATAAAGAAGAAAATTTTAATTAATAAATAGGACAAAACAATTACTGAAATTTTTGAATTCTGAGGAAATTTTTAAATTTAAAATTTTAATTTATAGAGTGAATAAAAAATATAAAATTTCAAGTTTCATTTCCGCCGGAATTTAATAAATAAAAAATTTATTTCCTATTTTTATTAAATTTAAAAAAATAAAAAAAATATTAAATTGATTGGCCAAATAAAAATTTTAATTTTTAAACTTTTATTTTCTCTTAAAGAAATAAACATTTAACAGAATTTGTTAAATAAAATGGAAAAAAAAGAAAAATAAGAGAAAATGATTAGTAATTAGTTAAAATAAAATGTCAAGATTTTATTTAAAAATTTGAAAAATACATAGAACATTTCCGAATAAAATTGAAATTAATCTAAAACAGGGAAAATAGGTGTTATTTTGATAGAAAATATTTGTAAAAAAATTTGGAAGAATATGGGAGAAAAAAATAATAAAAAAATAGAGGTATTGTTTAGGAAACAGAGGTCGAAGGAAATGACAAAGGTGCTGGGAATCGGATGAAAAGGATATCAGTGATTTTGAGGATTAGGATCGATATTTAAGGATTAAGAGAGATGTCGAGGTATGTCTTTCGACCCATAAGTATATACATATTTCATTGCAGGATCCATGGAGCGATATAGAGAGAGATCCATTCAGGGATAACAAAAGTCTTTCCTAAAATCGGAAATCGAAAAATATATTTGAAAATCCTCTAAATCGAAAATCAAACGAAAAAAAAACCCTCGGAAATCGAAAATTCCGAAATAGCCCTCACAATCTGCGCAGGTTCTATCTCTTCATAAATTTGTAAATATAACGTTATTTATAAATATTATAACATTTTTTACACAATTTATCAATAAATTAATTTACTAAATTGTGTCTTTGATAAATATAAAATATAATTTTGTCAGTAAAATTAGGTATATTTAATTAATTAATTGCGCATTGAAAGATGAAAGAATTTAAGGTTCAAGGCCATGTGAGGTTTAATAAGATAAAAAAGAGAGTTTAGTAATCTTTGAACGTTACTTAATTATTTTATAAACCTGATAAATTAAATTCTAAAAATAAAATTTTGCTGTTAATTTTAACAAAGAAAATATGTCGGAAGTAGATACCTTAAAAATTTTTTTTTGGTTCAGTTAAATCAAATTTTTTATATCTCGAATTAATATACATCAGACCTTGTCACGGATACTGATCTTAGTATCCTTATCCTGATATTTACGGCGGATACAGGCTGATATCCTCAGGCATTTTGATATTATCTGTATCCATATCCGTATTCAAGACAAGGTCTGATATACATATGTAGGTAGCAGGGATCGCACCGACAAAATTCCTGATTTCCGAAAATCGGGAATTCTCGACATTTTTAGGGCAGTGAATTCACTAAATCGGGAATTTTGTTTTTATGTCGGTGCGATCCCTGGTATGTACATAGGTATAGTGTTTTTTTTTGTAAAATTTAATATATAAAACAGGTTACACAATTAAATTAAAAATAAATTCAAAGTGAACATGCGCAAATGATTAAATTAAAAAAGTAAAATCAGTTGACTATTTTATTTGCCTATTAAATTTTAATTAGTAATAAAATGGGAATCCCTTATATTATTGCAGAATTAAAATTATTTTTTTCTGAGCAATCACGTTTTGTTTAAAATTTATTTTTAATAATTAATGATATTGTAATGATCTTAAGATTATTTTAATTAAACAAATTTTTATATTAAAGTTAAATTAAGAATGATTTCACGTAAATGAAATGGGTATATGTATGTATATTTAATTATAGACTACACAAAAAGGAATTTATGGTATATCCCAATTTGTGGATATCTCAATCTAATTGAGATTAAATTGATTTATTTATTGAAATTAAGTCTTAAATGTTCCCATAATTAAATTAGTATATAATAAATATTTTTAGATATTTTTAAAATTAGTGTAGTAAACTTGCGGGTATTATTAATTGTTTCAGCATTTGGTGTCAAAAATTCAATTATTATCGAGATAAGTTCAACGACACCAGCCATTGTTTTATCCCTCTACCGGGTTTTTTATGAAAAAGTTCAAACTTTGAACAAATGAACTCATACTTTTATTTAAAAAATTAAAAAATATTTTTTTAAACTATAAATCTTGTCGAAATTAATATCCCGGGGCCAATCTCGCTGGAGGACAATGGTCACATGAACCAGGGGCTCCAGGTGCTCCGGGGCGTCCATTTGAACCAATCTATAAAAATAATTGAATTTAGTCTCGAATTAAATAAAATGCCTTTCCACTTGAACCAGGCACTCCTGGTGAACCTGGAGGTCCGGGCGGGCCCTAAAATTAAAGTTAAAAATTAGAATATTTTGAATACTTTTAAAGAATAAATAAATTAAAAATACAGACGGGTTTTCCAGGTAATCCATCATTTCCTGGTTTGCCTGGGGCGCCTGAAATTAATTAAAATATTAAAAAAAGTTCATTAAAGAATTAATTTAACAATGTAAAATTAAATAAAACCTGGAGGTCCAGGAGGACCAGGCCGACCATTGGCACCGAGACGGCCAGGAGGTCCTTTAAAATATTAAAATTAAATTATATACTAATGTAAAATTAATTACCGATCTCTGTTCGATATTGCCCAGGCTCTCCAGGTGGACCAGGCCTTCCTGGCTGGCCAGGTTGTCCCGCAAGTCCAGGCGGACCTCGCGGTCCTTGATCACCCGGTTTTCCATCTTCGCCTGGCTCTCCCTTTTAAATTGATTTGAATTCAAATAAAACATATAATAAACCGGAGGTCCTGCCGGTCCATCAGCTCCAGGCGGTCCTTTTGGCCCGGGCTCTCCCGGTGGAGCCTAAAATAAAACAGAAAACTTTTCAAACTTCTCATAAATAATTAACCTCACAAGGACATTGTGGAGGAAAGAGCTGAGATTGATCAGGCCCAGGTGGCGCCGGAGGACCTGGAGGGCCAATCTGTCCGGGTTCTCCATCTAATCCTCTTAGACCATCTCTACCTGGAGGACCAGGCCTTCCAGGGGGTCCACGTTGACAAGTACCTAAAAAATTGAAAAAAAATTTTGAGAGAATATCAATTACAGCATCCAGTTGAAGGTGTTTCAACAAATTCGTCTTTAGGCGATCCACGACTATAATCATTTTGAGCATAAGTTTGAGAGTGATCTCTAGCCATTGAAAGTGGCTACAATGATTTTTATTTATAGAAGTAAAATTCCAATTTCTTTACTTTATGCCTTGGTTTTTCTTCCGCTGGTTGTTGTTCATAACCATCTTCCAATTTTTTAAAACTTTCAACCGTCGTTGACTGTACATTGTTATCCGTTGTTGCCTTTATTTGACTTTCATTTCCTCCATTTACCGCCCTTCTAACATTACTAGAACCAACACCAATCGGTCCAGAAGAATCTACAGGATCGTCTCTAAACTGCATATCATGCAAACGACGAGCCCAAAACTCAGCAATAGTATCTCGTTTTTCAATCTGTCGTCGATGCATTACAAGATTAGCAAGTCGAGAAGCAGCTTCTGAACGTCCGTTAGTTTTTATCTCAAACATTTCTCTCCACATATCCCGCGCTCTTGACTTGCAAAAATCCAAATCTAGCTGAACTCCAGCTTCTAATGTTTGTATATAATGGAGAATAAGTGGAAACATTATTAAACAACTGCTAATTGCTACCTGGTTATAATGGGGGAAAATTAGCTTATTTAAGTGTATAAAATTAGTTATCAGTTTTATAAATTATCTGTTTTTTAATTTTTATTTGAGTTATTTTAATTTTTATTTGGTAATTTATAAAGAACTAAATTATTTCGAGAACTATGCTTTGGGATTAGAAATTGACTTAAAAAATATTTTCTGATTGAAAAATTGATAATAAAATTATAGGCAGCGAAAATAACTATGTCAATCTATTTTTGAATTTAAATCTTTGGCAAAGTTTTGAAGAATCAATTAAAAAAATTTTTAATATTTTCTTAATTAAAAAATAATTTGGAATTAAAAATTTAAATTTTAATTAACTAACAGTTGCGCAGCATGTAGCTATTAATGCAACAGGTCTTAAACTCTGCCGTTCATGTTTTAATGGATTTTTATCGTCCGAAACCATATTTTCTCTGAATTAAAACAAAGTTGAGATATTAAGAAATATTTTAAAACCATATTTATTTTTTTAGATATGGATTAGAATGTCTTAGAAATATTTAAAATTATATTTTAAACTTAAATATATCTTTTATTTAAAAACTAAGGGGTTCTTATACAATTTTCTGAGAGTATTTTACTTAGAATAAAATTTTGTTGAAAGGCTAAATTTTTATATCAATTTTGAAAGACTTTTACGACTTTCCCGAAGTTTACTGAAATAGGAAAAACAAAGGAAATCCCAGTTATTTAAAAATCCCCCCCTCTCCCCACTACAGTTCTCTAATACTTTTTAGTAATAAATAATAAATAAATTAGAGACTAAAAATAATAAAGAATAAAATCAAAGCAATAAATAAACAGGAATTGTTTTGAGGAAGAAAATAAATTGTACTTTTTTGTAAAAAAATAAATCTATCCTCCACGGAATATCTTTTTCTTTCTTATTTTTCGATCCTTTACATATAAAATCAAAGGAAAAAGCAATTAAATAGAGCTTGCTCGATTGTGTTCATATAAAGCATTCTTTTAGGATGTAATTATGTATTTTTGAAGTCAAAAAGCGTTCTAGCATTTTGTACATTTAAAAATAATAAAGAGTTATATAAAATAATAATTTTGAATAAATTATTTTATTTCTATCTAGAAAATGTTTAAAATAAGAGAACAGACTGGGAGGTCGTATGAAAACTGAAGAACTCTAAAATTGATTGTTCGAGATCGAGATCTTGAAAAACATAGATCTCGACAACCGAAAATTTTGATCGAGATCTCGTCTAGGTCTGATTCCGATCTCTACTTACAATTACCAAGTTACCCTAAGCTTACAGCTGTTAGAAAATAAAAGTCTTAAAACTGAAGAAACTATTCTTAAAACCTCTCGAAGGATTTCAGATCTTGAAATTGACATTATATTTAGATTCTAGGGAATCTTAAATTATTATTTAATAATATTTTAAATAAAATCAATTAAAATTTATCATGCGTCACGCATGATTGATTTAAATTTAATGTCACATGTAAGATTTTTGACATTTTTAATGAAATAGTAGACGAGAGAGATAGAGAAAGAGATTAAAGAAGGAGAAAGAGGAAAGAGGTTGTGTGAGGAAGAGTCAGAATCTGAAGAGTCAAAAGCTAGGAATCGGATGATTCAAAAAATTTAAACAACCCAAAAACACGTAAATTCTAGAGAAAGTTTGGCCCAACTCCGCGGTGGTATTCAAGTAAAGAGTAAAATTTTTTAAAGGATGAAAATAGTATTTACTTTCTTTAATATTTTTAGAAAAATTTTCACGTAACTTTTTGACTGATTGGACAGCGCTTTTTTGAAAATTGATAAGAGATGAAATTATGATGAAGCTGAATCTCTTGGAAAAAGGTTAATAATAAAAAAACGGACTTATACACCATAAAAGAGAATTATCTGGCCACAAAAACTGTATAAAAATATTTAAAGATGTATTTGAAAAAGTTTGAAATCAAATGTGCCAAATTATTTTTTGGTCACTCTTTAAGATAAGAACAGTTTAAGAATAGAAAAAAGCCAATATCGAAAATTACTTAATTTTACTTGTTATTCTTGTTAAGATCTATGTAACAAAATAATAAATGAATTCTGAATTTTTTACCTTTTTATCATCATCTTTTCGAAGGTAACAAGGAATTTTTTGTTCCAATAATTTTTAGAAGAAAGGATTTTCGAGAAATTTTCAGTAAAGTTTTTTCATTATTAAACACTCAATTAACATTCTCAACAAGGCAACATGCCTTCAACAATCAATTCGCGCTATCACAATCAATTAACGCTATCATTACGCTATTGCGTCTATCAATAATACAGTGTTTAAGCGAGCATCTGACTTGACTATCCACGTCGTATTTTTTGCCAATTGAAATAGCGAGCGAGCATGAACGAGAGACTGACTCTCTTTATTTGTCAATGCTCTCTCTCATTACCTTTCCATTTATTTAAATTTTTTATTAAAAATTAATTTTCTTTATTTAAATAAAATATAAAATATTCTCTAAGAGTTTCCAAATAATTAAAAATAAATTAAAAAAGTTATTTGCTAAATATTGACGGAAAGGAAATATAAAAAATAATATAGGTATATCGTTTAAGCGACAAAATTCTATTTTTAGTATGAGTTATCTTTAGTGTAAATGTCTTATGTTTTTTGTGTAAAACATGTCGATCGTTTACAGTAATTAATGTTATTAAGTCATATCATTGACACTATATTATCCAACTTTTTCCCACATTAAGTGAAGAATAAGAACTTCCTATTTCAAAAATTTTCTCTCATATAAGTTTTTAAAAGTGCATGTAAATGTAGTAGACATTTATGTTATTGAGGTAAACATTTAATTAAAAAGTACATTTAATTGAAAATAAAATAAAAATATACTACATATTAGTGACAGCTGAATCCGAAAATCAACGCAAAACCGGAGTTTGGCGTCTTTAAAAAATATTTTCGAACCCTTGCGGGCTGTATTAAGAAAGAATTTAGTGTTTGGCTTTTGATTATCAAGGGGGTATTTAAAAATAATATCTGTCTGGATATGAATTTTTAATTAAAAAAAGGAGGAAAAGTGCATACAAGTTAATAAATAAATTAATTAAAAATTATTCTCAATTTTTATTCATTTCTCAATTTATTTTTCTTTACAATTTTATTACATATTTTTAAAATTATATATCCTTCTTCTTTAACTTTATTAGATTTAAAAAATTCTTTTTAATTAAGAAATAGAGTCTGTCTGGTAAATACCCATCTCCCCACATTCTCCGAGACCGCGTTAATAAAAGGGTAGAAACTCAGAATATCCAAAAATATACCCTATGTATATCACTCGATTCCTCACGTAAAATATTAAAAAAAACTCCTTAAGTTATAGACTCTTAAGATTTAAAAACCGTTGGGGCCAAACATATTTAGAGGGGGGGGGGTCTTCTAGGCATTTAGCTATTCTTTAAAATATTCATAAACTTTAAAATCGTATACAGCTTTTGAAACGCCTACACTTTTTTGGACGCATGCCCTTTTTTGGGACGCATACACTGTATGGGACGCATGCACATTTTTGGGACGCATGTCCTAAACTATAGACGAATTAAGAAGGCGGTATATATAAAAATCATTTTAAAAATAAATATTTAAATTCAAGGCCAATATTTTTCTTTTAATATTTTTTATTTTCTTTTAAATTTTAATAAATTAAAATTATTAATTATTAAATTACTTTACATAATATAAAAAAATGTTTAATATTTATTTCCAGTATTTAGATAATTTATTTATGATTGTAAATAAATTAATCATTATTATTATTTTGATTTTGAAATTAACAAAAATTGAAGGAAATCCAGAAAATTTATTAATAGGTAAATTAGATGTTGACATCATTATTTGAGAATACGCAAGGGTTAGGTGGGATAATCTCCAAATAATCCCCAGCTGATCAATCTTGATATAAAATGTTATAACCATATACTAAATTTTTCTGCCTGAAACAAGGTTTATCACTTGTAACTTCCGCAGAATGCTCAGATCGTCAAATTATGAAAAGATGCGTATCGAGACGTTCAAAAGATATATATATGAATCATTTCTGAAACAAATACTGTATTATAAAGCAACTACCGTATTTTCTCGATTAATTCCCCTGGGGAATTAATGTCCTAACCAATCCTAACTTAATTAATGTCCTAACCCATCCTAACCCATTCAAAAGATATAAATATGAATCATTTCTGAAACAATTACTGTACAATTACTGTATTAATTCCCCTGGGGAATTAATGTCCTAACCCATCCCTGGCAGGGGGAATTAATCGAGGGAAAATTAATCAAGAAAATACGGTATAATTAAGCGGGCTTCCGCCTGCGCGAAAAAGCAACATCGGGTTGCTTGGTTGCCAAAAAGGGGAGAAAACCAAAAAAGGGAGAAAATCCGATACTTGAGTATATTCATAATAATTTTTTTTTTAATTTAAAGATTACAAAACAAAAGAGATTGAAGATTTTTATATAAAATTATTTTCTGGAGATGAACTTTCTGATAATGACAAAAATAAATTTAATATTTATTTATTTGATGAGAATATTCAAAATATTTTGAAATTAATTAGTGACGAAGGAAAAAAGGAAGCTGATAAGAAAAATAAAAGTAAAACAAAGAAAAACAAAGGAAAAAAGGGAGAAAATTCAAAAACCGAAAATTCAGAAAAAGAGGCTAATTTAAAAATAAGTAAAGAAAAATATAGCGAATTTAAACAATTTAAAAATTCTATAGAGAAGGAAACAATTGAAAATAATTTAAATTTAATTTTAAAAAAATTTGGAGAATTTTATTTGATATTTTTGAATTTAAAAAATAAAATTTTGGGAGAAGAAAAAAATGAAATAATTGAAAATACTAAAGAGGAATTGAATGAAGAATTAAAAATTGAGAAAGAAAATCAAATTTTACATAAAAATTTAATTAAAAAATTGTTAAATATAAACGGAAAAAATAAAGAATTAATTAGTTATCTTGAAATGTCAAGCAGTAAAGAGAAGGAATTTATTGAGATTAAAAAAAGAGTGCGAGAATTAACTGGAAAATTTATGTTTATGGGATTGGAATTGTATTTTCCTAAATTGTTGAGAATAGGTAAAAAAATAAATTTTTTGATTCGATTTTTACCAGAATACTTTGAAAGAAACGAATTCTGAAATAAAAAGTTTTATATCAAAGTTCCCGTTTTTAAGGACGTTGTCGAAACTACTAGAGACATTCGGGTAAAAGTCCAGCTCGCTATCTATATGTCCGCAAAAGGCATTTATTCAAAAATCATTTTTTGCTTCATTCTCCTCCCTTGCCCTTCTTTGCTTTGATGAATTGACAACTTGGCGCTTTTACATTGTGGCGTAAATCAAGAAAAAGAGTTTACTTACAAATAATTAAATAAAAATTTAAATAATATAATTTCATGATAAAGTCCCGCTAGATTTATAGAATTTCACATAAAAATTTTAGCGTAATAGATATCTTTGGATTGAAGTGCTAAAGTGGCAGATGTTTAGACGCTTAGATTGTTTGGATGCTTAAACTGGACAAAAGCTAAAAATTTCTATTTGAACTTCCATAGATCTTAGCGGGACTTTATCATAAAATTATTTTATTCGTTAACTTTTAATTATTTGTAAATAAACTCTTTTTCATGATTTACGTCACAATGTAGTTGCGTCAAGCTTTCAACTCATTAAAGGAAAGATGGAGAATACAGTAAGAAATGAGTTTTGCAGAGATAGCGAGCTGGACTTTTACCGACATTCGAATCCAAAAATTTTCTAAAACAATAGAATAAGGCCGACGGGTCCTAGGAAATCAATCCGAATCTAGAACCGGAACAATACTTTGTTCGGATGGCATATTAAATGGACCAAACCCAGACTTATGACGAGAAATTAACCCAAAGAGCAAGCCTTAAACCCCCGGGAAAGTCTTATTCCCCCGACAAAATCCTTGTCGTTAGTTTTTAACAACTCGTTGGTGTTTATGTATATCGTTTTTTACTTTTCAGATTTGTTAGAAGAACAAGAACGTTTAAATCTTTATATGGAAATGTTTTCACACCCAATAGGTCATAAATTAGGTATTACTCCAGCTGTTCACATTCGTATTTCAACATTGATGGCCGATCTTTTAAACTCACATCCAAATTTATATGAAATGAAGATATTTAAAACAGGGTGGGAAAAGAAGGTTTTAAAAGGTGAAATGAATAATCAGAGTCTGATACTCGATAAAATTGCGAAATTATATTTGGAAATTAATCAAGACAAAGGGGAGATATTAAATAAACTTATTAATTATGCTGAAGATGAATTAATTGAAATTTATTTAAATAAAAAAGAATTTAAAGAATTTTTGTTAAAAAATAGAGGAGCACGAGGGAGAATTGTTAAATATTTAGATATTGAAGAGGAAATTAGGCACAGATTATTTGCTGGAATTTATCCTAAAATTGGTCCGATTATATGCAATAGTAAGTTAAGACAGATATTTTTTAACTTAATCACAGAAAAGTTAAAATATTTCATTAAAAATTTTAATTAAAAAAATTTTTTCACTGTGTAAACTTGCAAAAATAAAGTTTAATAAAAAACGGTAAATGTAAAGGCATTCTGCAAAAATTCATAAGTGACTTATTGAATTAGATTTTTATTATATTCCAGCATTATTGCAGTTTCAAGATTAGATTTAAGAAAAATTCAAACTTGAATCTGGCTTCTTAATCAGCAGGCTTTCTTTGAGATTTTTATTTCAAAAAGTGGATTTTCCGTGCCTATGTAGGATCTCAGGGGACTTTCTAGGATTTATAGAGAGCTAAGGTTCTCATGAGACTTAATTATTATTCGCGCCAAAATGTTAACCTATCATTTGATTACCTGAGGAAAACTTATGGAGGTCGATCGAATCTTCAATTTTCCTTCTCTAATCGCTAAGGTTTCCTTTACATCGAGCAGTTCCTTTAGAAGTATTTTGAAAATTTTTATTAAAGAAAAATATAATAATTATTAAAATATAATTTAATAAAAATTTATTTTCAAAGAAATGTCTAGAGAAGAATTTATAAATTTAATAATAATTTACTACAAAGAATATTTTAATAATGATAAGAAAGACGTGGATAAAGAAAGTACTACAATTGATATTTTTGTAAAAATATTTTTAAATGAAGCAAAATTTATTAAAACTTTAAAAAAACAATGGAAAGGCTTAAAATGTGCCGCTTTGCTTTTTGTTGATCAAATAATAGATTTAAATAAAAAAGAAATTGAGGAAGGAAGGATATTATATTTAAATAGTCTTCATAAAATATTAAAATTAAAAATGTTGTATGAATCAACGAGTAATTTTAATGAGGACTTTCGTGATGCTTTTGAACAACAGGCAGATAATAAAGCAAAATTAATTGATGCAAAATTACAAAAAGAAAATTTAAAGAAGGAGCATACAGAAATGATTGAAATATTGAAAAAAGAGCGGAAAGAATTTAATGATTTAATTAATAGTAATAATTTTGATAATAAATATCCTATAGTAAGGCTGAGGAAGCTCCTCACAGATTAAAAATAAAGCAAGAATTAAGGTGTTGGAGTGAAGGAGGTGGAGTGGGGGATGGGCAAACAGTTAACAAATCTTTACGTTTTTGCTAAGAACGGAGAGCTTATAGGGTTAAGAAGACTTATCCAGATATCTTCTGGGTTTGGTTTCAGATATTTTATCATAAAATAATTGGAAATTTATTTTCGACAAAACAAGGCTAGGTTATTTCTAACAAAATAATCCAGAGATACTTGATAAGCTTGATGATTATTTCATAAAGTTTAACAGACCTATAGTAGATAGAACTGTAATAGTAATGTGGTTGGTAGGTGATGGATGGTATGATGTTTCAAATTATCATTGAAACAAGATCATAGGGCATATTTAAATTCGATTTTTTGTTAACAAAACTTGTCCAAATATAATTAATTTTAAGATTTAAATTTAAATGGCAAAAAAAGATTGGAATCAAAAATTATAATTCAAATAAAGGTTTAATATTAAATTAAATAAAAAAATAAGTTTATTTTAATTTAGAAAGGATATATAGAATGTCCTCCGAGAGATGTATTAAGAAAAATTGGTAGGTTAAGAAGAATTTTTTAATTAATTTCGGAAAAAGTGATAAATTGGTTAAATTAGGATAATAGTTAATCCCAAAATATAAAGCCCCCTCTACATAGTTTTCAGTAGAATTGTTCTTATGACCAAACTTTTTGTGGGAAATAACCCTTGCTTTCGGTTAGTGTTCTAGCAATCCGAAAAAATATTCACTACTAAAAAATAATTATTTATCAATTTATCAGGACCGGGTTGTCCTTCACCTTAAAAATTTTTTTGGTTTCAGATTACGAAAAAAATCACATAAAATATTTTATTATGGAGAATGATGAAATGACTTATGAATTAATTAACTTAACAATAAATGCAATAATTTGGAATTATTTAAATATATTAATTAAAGTTTTTAATTCTTTGGATGATTTGAAAGAATTGCAAATTTTGTCTAAAAATAAAGAAAGCTTAATAGAAAATAAGAAAAGATTATGCCAACTTTATTTATTTATTTTTAAAAATAAAAATTATTTAATGGAAAATAATTTGGAGAAAATTATTAATGAGGAACACAGCAAGGAAGGATGCTGTGAAGATAAGGAATGTCCAAATAATATTAGAAATATTATTAAAATGATTGAGGAACTTGTAAGTGGAACTTGTATATTGCTAGAGCGTGTCATTTTAGGTCCAAAAAATCGTGAAATAGGATCCTGTTTAGGTAGCTCTGGGGGAGAGTTTCCACTGTCCCCGGTGAACCATCGTCCAAGGGGACGGTGGTTGAAGACTACTCTCATGCCTAACTCTGCATACAGGACGATTTGAATGGAATCGTGATATAAGGGGAGTTGGTGAGATCAAATAGACGGCGAATTTGAATGGGATAGGTATTTTTGGGGATAAAGGGCATTTGAATAGGTAACAGGGTTGGAGAGATTAATTGAAATTTGAGGCATTAAAGACATTTTTATTTGACCCTCGTTTAATAGTAGGAAAAAATAAACCCTGATTCTAAACCCAACAACTTGTTCCAAAGTAAATTGCGAAAAACCCAACAATAATTTATAAATTAAAATAATTATTTTTAATATAGACAAATACTTTTGATGTAAACTTAAATTGTAATGATATAAAGATAATGGAAATAATAAATGATAAAATAGAGAATAAATTGAATTTAAATTCAATTAAATTTGATTATATAAATTCATTAATTATTAATGATGAAGATTTTCGGCGATTCTTTTGTGACGCTTCAATTGTTGAAATGTTTGATATTAAATCAAAAATTATTTATTTTACTGGAACTGATTATCTTGAAAAATTAGAGTTGTTACATCCAGACGTTCTTAAAATTCGTAAGCACATTTAAATTTTTAATGATTAGCACTATTAGTTCAGTTGTTTTAAACTTTAAAAGGTCTGGATCTGGTTTTTAAATGTTGGCTAGAATGAGAAATTAGGATTGAAAGTTATCAATATGCAAAAAATCTATACTCTAGAAGAATAAAATTTTTATCCCAGACTTTCGCTTATAGTAACAGGGATACTTTCTCTTATAGACTTTCTCTTATAGTTTAATAGGGATATATATAATAGCAGGGATCATACCGCAACAGGATCATGCCGTATTAGGATTTTATCAGGAATACCCTATTCAAGAAATTGGTTATATATTTCCAGGTCAGCACGATACGTGCTATCAGAAGTCAGCCGTAATTCCGATTTTCAACAGTTCCAATCGCTTTGTTATTAAAGACAAAGATTAAAGATTATTAATTATTAAAGATTATTAATATTAATATTTTATATTATTATTAATATTAATTAATATTAATTAATTAATTAATTTTTTAATAATTGTAATTAATGATTAATAATATCAATTATAATAATATTATTAATATTATTATCCAACTAATTATTTTCAAATATTTAATTTTTAGATTTCATTCATCCCGAGGTCCAATATTATTTGTATAAGATTATAGCTGAAAACAAAAAAGATTCATTAGAATCAATTAATGCAGAAATTCGTATATCTTCAACTTTCATTCTTAGATATATAAAAAATTACGAAAACGAAGAACAAGGATATTTGGATAAACGTTCAAATATATTAATACAAAAATTTAATTGGCTAAAACAAATACTTTTTAGTAATAAATCTTCAAAATTAATATCAAAATTAGGTATTTGTTTAATGATAAATTTTACTGAGAAAGGATTTCCAAAAGAAGAAAATAAAAAAGTAATAAATTATAAATTAATTGAAAATTGGGAAGGAAAGGAATGTGAAGATGAAAATGAAATTGAAGATAAATTTTTTAGACAAAGAAAAGATTTACAAAATTTTAATTTAGTTTATCTTCAAAATTTTCCAGAAAGAATGAAGGATATTACAGGAGTGCCTGGGACAAAGAGTAAATTGGAATATTTATTTCCAGATATTTCGTTGAATCCTTTATTTGAGGATGAAAATTGTTAGTTTTTTTTTAATTATTTTGGAAAAGTAGGTAGAAAGTATAAGAAAAGTAATATATGTATATTTAGAATATATTTTTTTTTAATATATAATCATCGATTTTGGCTGATTTTTAAATCACCCCCATCAACGAGATCTCGAGCTCAAATCAACGGAAAATGGGTTGATTGTTAGGTGGTTCGTTTCAAAAATTATTTTGGCCCATTTGGCCGAGATAAATAAGAGATGATAAGAAGGCCGGATAAGAAGGCCGGCCTTTATTTAAAAAAACCGGTCACGGAACCGGTTCCAAACGGTTCCAGACATATATTGGAAATCAGCAAGTAATTTAATTGTTTGGGCGCGTTGGATGGAAAATGAATTAAAAATAAAAAGTAGAGAGTCAATAATAATTTACAGATTATTCGAAATTTGGAAGGAAAGAAAAATTTATTTAAAAGCAAAATATGACAAAATTTTGGATTTTGAATTAAAAAGAATTGAAGAAATTAAAAAAGAAGAAAATTATTTAGTTGAAATGGAATTTGGATTAAAAAAATTGATGGAAGTTGAAGTGGAAAATGAAGAAAATTTTTTTGATATTGGTAATTTAATAAAACAAAAATGGATAAAAATTGAAGAAAATGGAGGAGGAGGAAAGTTTAATGAAGAAGAAAAAATTAAATTTAATGAATGGATAAAAGGACAGAATTGGGAAATTATTAAAATAATTATTAGAAATAATAAAATTTTTAAGAAACAAATAAATATTGGAGGAAAAGAGTACTTGATTGAAATGAACTTTTTGTCAATTTTGTTATCAAGTAAAAATTATTTTTAATTTGTTAATCTCTCTGGTTAGGGTAAGGGATGTATTGAGAAAAAAAGTCTCAGATCGAGTTATCAAAAATATCTAAGGACAACTTTCGGGTAACTTGACACATCTTTGTTGGAGGTTAAAAGTGCACAACAGGGGAGGAGCTCGTCTCGTGAATCTCGTGTCTCGAATTTTTGGACCGAGCTCCACCCCTGTACCCAACATTAGGATAAACAACTAATAGTTGATATTATCATCAATGGGCCATATGTATATCTTTAAGAAGTGGAAAATATACAAGTGATTGAATATCTCACATAGGGATGTTGTTCGAAAACAAACCAAAGAACCGAAGAGATAACCGAAGATTTTCCAAACCCGAAAACCAACTTAAAATATAAAACAGCTTAGTCAATTAAAATAAATTTTAAAAAATATTTATTTTCAAAGATTTGCAAGAAGAGTATGAAATTAGATTAAAATTTGTTGATTTAATAGGGATAAAAGGAGTTTTAGAATTTTATGAGTTATCTAAAATAAAGTTTAATCCAAAAGATTTTGGATTAGAAGAAGAGGAAATAATGAAAATTGAAGAAGTAAAGAAAAAAGAAGAAGAAGTTGATAAAAAGGAGGAAAAAGATGAGAAGGAATTAGTAAAAGGTAAATCAAAGATGTTGGAGAAATCAAAAGAATTATCAGTTTATGAAGGAAAAACTAAAAGAGGAAAAAATTTAAAAAGTAAAAACAAGAAGAGTGAACAAGATCGGGAAGAAAATCGAGAAGATAAGGAAGAAAAAAATGAAGATAAGGAAGAAAGTGAAGAAGAAGGTGAAGAAAAAGAAGAAGAAAATCGAGAAAAGAAAGAAGAAGAGGAAGAGGAGCAACAAACAAAAAATATCCAAGAAGAGGAACCTCTTGAAGAAACAAAAATAATTGATAAATATGGCAAAAGACCAATGGAAGAATTAGATAATGAAGAAGAAAATAAGCAAGAAAATAAAGAAGAAAATAAGCAAGAAAATACTGACATATCATTCTCCAATCCTTCTTCTTCCTCCCCTCCTTCAAAAATAATTTTGCCAATTTATTTTTTAAAAAATGATTATTTAAATGATTTCTTTAAAGAATTAAAAAATAAAAATGAGGAAAATAATTGTTTATTAAATATAGGCATTTTAATTAATGAAATTGGACGGAAAATGAGACCAATAAAAAAATATAAAAAAATTAAGGGATGGCCAAATTATAAATTAATTAATTATTTAAAAAATAAATGGGAATTTATGCTAAATGGAGTATTTTTGAAGGAAATAAATAATTGCGAGAAATTAAAAAATAAATTGGAATTATTTTTAAAAGAATTAATTGAGTGGGAAAATGATAGAACTGAAAATAATTCTGTAAGGTTTTTTAATTGAATTAATTTTGAGCAATGAGAAAATTTAAAGAAAATTGTTTCAAAATTAAAATCAAAACTTTTTTCTAAGTTTCGTATTTTGATATGACGTAAGATAGCTGAAAGAGTCCTTAAATCCGGAGGATGGGTGGGGCCGATCCGAAAAGAAAATTTTGTTGATAACCGATCATAAACCAGATCAGAACTTTTTTCTCAACCCAGAAAATCTCTGTTTGTGTGAAGTAAGTTTCAGATGATTGGAAATCAGCGGATATCCGGATCCGATATCCGAACCGAAAATTTCGGGTATCCTGCCTTTATTCAGATCCGGATCCGCCAACCTTAGTGTGAAGTCACAAGAATGGACATCATTCTTATTGACAAAATTTATTTAATAATTTTTGAAAAATATTTTTTTTAATTCTTAGCTTCAATTAATTCTTGAAGATAAAGCAATAACAATACAAAAAAATAATTTAAATAAAGCGGCAATTTCTGAGGTCAAACTAATGTTAAATAAATGGGTAAACTTATTTTTAGAATTATTTTGATTATAAATATTTAAAAATACATATATATGTACATAAGCAGTATTTTTCCCAATCAAACTGCACCTGCGTTGTTCAAACATTTTTTGGTGCACCTACATTGTTACTTCTATTAAATGTTTTCCTTCCGTTTCTGTAAGGAAAATGTTTCCTTAGTCCTTATTTCCTTAGTTTCTTCCTTTTTTGACACTGACATATGTACAAACATGGACTTTTATCCACTCAAGCCCACTCAAATAACATATTGTAAGGAAGAAAGGAGATCCAGATGAGTATTATTTAAAAACTTACTATGCGAGGGTTTAAAATTATTAAAAAATAAGGAAATTATCTTTATTAAAATTAGAATATCCTTATTAATTATATCCACTCAAAATTAGATTATTCACTCAAAACTATACACTAAAATTATCCTTATTAATTATCCTTATTAAAAGATAAGGCAAACGCTGATAACTCAGTTAGTAAATTTATAATTTGCCATGAAGGTTCCTTATCTTGTTACCCAAAAACGATGTTTCCTTAGTCCCAAACGAACAAACGTCTCTTTATTACTCGAAATATTTTTAATTTTTAGAATGAAAAATCCAAATTGCTAATTTCTGGATCATACCTCTTAAAAGCGAATACACCAGATTCTGATTTTGATTGTTTAGTTGTTGTGCCAAATAATGGAAATATTAATAATTATTTTTATGGAAATTCTGAATGTAATTTAAAAGAAAAAAATTGTTTTGATAGATCTCTTTTTTGTATTTTTTGTTTGGTATTTTTGGATTTTTTAAACGAAATTTTTTTCAATTTTAAAGCATTCGAGAACCAATTCTATTGCAAAAATTGAGGGAAGAATTCCTCTAATTAAAATAAATTTTAAGGAAGCAGAATTTGATTTGTTACTTGTTTCCCTTCCAAAAAATAGTTTTAATACATTATTTGCCTTAAATGAACCTAAAATTGATAAAGTTGATGAGGCTATAGCCACATATATTTTAGAAAGAGTTGGGGGAATTGAAGCTAAAAATAATGGGCAATTATGGCCTTTATCTGGTTTTTAATTTTTAATTATTTTTTAATTTAAATTTTAAAAAGGATATCGTGCAAATTTACGTTTATATGATTTGACAGTTAACAGTAGGAAAACGTATACAATGTTGCTACAAACAATTAAATTTTGGACTAAAAGTAATTTAATTTTAGTAAAGTCAAAATTGAATTTATGTCATCTTTTTATCTAGGGTAGCAGCACCCCGACTCCCGAAACAGCAGCACCCCGTCCCCCGATCTTTTACGCCCACCCCTGTAGGGCAAAATCCCGACCCCAGAAACTGGAAAAAACCACAACCCGAACCCCGAAGGCTCTACCCCGGCAAAACCCGAAACCCGACACTCCCGCCCCGAAGGCTTGGGGTGCTACTTTATTTTTATCTGAAATTTAGTTAAAGTAGCTTTTGGAGCAGGGGCGTTACTGGTTTAAAAAAATTAGTGTCGGGTTTCAATTCGGATTTTTATAATTCTATTCGGATTGGGTTCTGCATCAAAAGATATTATAAAATGTCGAGAATTGAGTTAGAGCTGAGTCAGTAGTTTAATGAACTGCTGTGATATCCTCCTTAAGTTTATAGATCCTATGATATCCCCGATCTAGTATGTCAAGAACGATATTGACGATGTTGGGATAAAAAGAAAATAATTCTAATACTCGTATCTATTGAAATTTAAAATGTTCTCAATTTTCTTTGATTCTTAGATCATTATATCTATGGAAGTAAATTTGGTTTTTTAAATGGATCTGCAATAGCTATAATGACTTGTAAAATAATTCTTGATTTTCCTGCAAATTCTTTGCCATTTTTGTTAAAGAAATTCTTTGATATTTATTCAAAATGGTTTAAATTAAATTTAAAAATTTTTTTTAAATATTTTATTTAAAAAGGGAGTGGCCAAAACCTGTAGAAATTGTCGAATTGGCAAATAAAAAATATAATGAAATTAGATTGGTTTTGGATTAGAACATTCTAATTATTAGAACATTCTAAATTACAATGGGTGGTTTTAAATCCTGGATTTCCAACACAAAATACGACTTTTAATGTTAATAAATCAACAGCAGAAATATTAAAATTGGAATTTTTAGAAGGTAATTTGAGTATGTAGTTAAAAATACTACATTTTCTCTCTTATCGTATAAACTCCGTGTGATATATATTTTTAATTGAATACTAGAAAATAGCCTTGAAATTTAGATTTTAAAGGATGCCTTATTTTAAAGGAAACACAACAAAGGCATTATATGTAATTTTCGTGAATCGTAAATTCACGAGCCAAAAATCATCGGGTATTCACAATTTTTGGAATCGTGAATTAGGTCGGCACGATCCCTGATATCAACCAAATTTATCTTTAGACTCTAGATTATGGTTTAGGTAAATAAGAAAATAGGTATACATATGTATTTGAGAGTTATACTACTAAATTAATTATACAATTTTTTAAATTAAATATAGCGGCAGAAAAATTAACTGAACTTGAAACGATACATACAAAAATGTCTCCATCAGTGGCCAAAACTTTTTGGGAAAATTGGCTAAATGGAAAACATTTTACAAAAAAGGTCGAGAATATTCTAAATAAATTTGCATTTCTATTTAAATAAACTAGTTAATTATAAAGGTAGAGGCCGAAACAATGTGATGATCTAGTCCTAAATTTGCCTAGATTTTCTAATTTAAATTAAGTGTATAAGCGGTCTAAAAACTAGGAAAGATAATCATATGGTCAAGTAAAATTAATATCTCTAGGAGAAACTTAAAAAGAGATGTGAGTGAAGGAGAGAAAGATACGGTAACGGGGACGGGAGGTTGATTATTTATTAATTTATTTTTTAATATTTGATTCAAATAATTTTTTTAGTACAATCATTATTTATCAATTAATTGTATGTTTAAACCAGAAAATCAAACAGTTGGCCAATCATTTTGTGATCTTGTAGAAACCCGTATTCGTCTCCAACTTTTATTTTCAATTGAAAATATTGAAGAAATTAAATATTGTCATGCAAATCCAATCAAAATAAAAAATAAATGTTTAATTAAAAATAATTTTTATTTCGGTTGGAATTGTATAAAATGGTTGATTGGAATAAAAGAAAAAGAAAAAAATAATTTAAATTTAATATTTAAATCGGAAAATGGCCAAAATTTTAAATGAATTTATGCAAAAAATTGAGCTTGAATTTTATAGAAAAATGCCTATTATTTCACAAAATGAAACAGAAGGAATACGTTTATATGTTGAATATTTTGAACCAGAAATTTGAGAAAATTTAAATTTATTTTAATTTAGGAGTAATTTTGAACATGAATTATTTTAATATTTTGATTATGACCAGATTTTTGATGTTTATAATTTTTAAATTTTTTGTCCCCTCCTTCAAATTGTTCTTATGAACTATATTTTAAATATAAATTTTTTTATTTAAAAAATTTGCATAAAAATGTTCTTTAATTTAAAATAATTTTTTAGGTTTTCTTGAATCCTTTCTAGGTCTTAAAGTTAGTTAGGGTTTCAGGTTGGGAAGGGAGGATTGTGCCGATAGGACCCTATTTAGTAATTATCCCTCCGTTTTAGACTCATACTCCGGAGGTTCTATTTATGTCAGGGAATGGACCTATGAAGCCGAAGAATTGAGAGGGGAGAGAGGACGGTGCCGCCGCCCAGGACGACGATAGGGTTAGCGAAAGAGGTGCGAATTTTCCGAGGTGCCTACTCCCTCGGTATGTATTTTTTATATCCCTCCTCGGGTTTAAAGTCAAAAAATACCCCAGATTTGGATGTAAATAAGCTGATATTTTTCCTTTGCTGAAAATAAACTTGGATTCAAATTTATAAAATATAAACAACAACCGCAATTTATTCAGAAATATTAATAAAGAAAAACTACATAAGCAACAGATTTTGCACTAATAAGAAAAAATTATGAATAAAATTTTATAAGCGGTGTTGATATTCTAAACTACGGGGAGGGGAGAGGGAGCGAGCACAATGGGCATCAAGCAAATCCCTCTTAATTTTTGGGTAAAGCCTTCTTTCCTTTCCATTCATTACTTTGAATTGCATCCACATGATCCAGAAAAAGTTCCAACTATTATTGTTTGTGAAACTGTTTGTGGAGGAGGAAAAACTGTCCAAAGAAATGTGTTCATAAACAATGCTCTCGGTTGTGTTTGTCCGTTGCTTGTGAAGCAATTTTTAATATAAGTAAAGCTACATTGATAAGCAGAGACACAGTCATTAGGATATAATTTGTATATACAATTGAGAATTGCGTTTCTGTAGCTGTTAAGTGACATAATCTGCACTGATGTGAGAAGAGGTTTCAAGTCTAAATCTATGGCTTGCATCACTTCTGTGTTGTTATTTTTGTCAGGTTTGAAACAATGGGCATAATCTTGAGGAACAGTTTGATTGTAAACAGTAACGTTGTTATTGGTACACTGAAAAATTTAAAGTGAATAGAATGACAACTTAGTGACTAACAATGTGCGAAGTGCCAATAATTTGCGAATATGGGCACTGAAACCCGTTTCCAATAATTGTCGTTAGGTAGCATAACGTATGTGCCAACGAACTCAAATATGAGAATTGTGCCGATAAAAATTTCAAACGTTTAAAAGGGTCATTTTCAATTTTGAAGTAGCTGTAGCATGTTGAAACGTAGTTGTTAGCTTCGGCTATAGTTGAGGAGTTATAATTTTGAGCAGTGGCATTGGAATTGATGGAGTTGTTGAGTGATTTTAACGTAGGATTGCTATCAGCATCTCCACTTAACATGGCATTTCCAATTGATGAGAGTGTTGTATACTATTTAGTGGTGAATCTTTTGTTTATATTTATATCAAAAATACCGGATCACAGAGGAAAAGAAAGTCCTCAACTGTTAAATCTATTCCAACCAAGTTAATTTTTGCTTGCAATATATTTAGATAGACGCAGGAAGGTGCAGCATTAGCGCAGTATTGGCGAAGAACCACAGCGTGATATGCAATTTTTCGTTCCATTGGCCAGTCATCATCGTTTTTAATGCAAACCCTTTTAAACCATTTTGTCCATGTAAGAACGATTGCGGTTGTTCCATTGCCACATTTGTCATTAGCTGTTGCATTTTCAATAGCGGCGGTTAGCGGGGTATTGCCAATATTATCTACTGGAGTTATTGCTAATTTCATATTATCTGAACAGAAGCTGAATCCTGCAATAATAAACTCGAAGACCCTTCCCCATTTATCAATTGTTTCGCAAGTAACTAATGGTTCAATGTCAGTGTTGTTTGCGAAGCATTTTTTTAAATGAAGAACAGATCTAATAACCTTTACTGATAAAGTCAAAGTCACATCAGCAAGGTCAATCTCTATCTGCTTTATACAGACCTCGAAACGGTTCTTTAATTCAAAAAATATTTTAATTTAAAATAATATTTATATTACTTGTTGGTCAAAGTTCAAACGTAAAAATTTAATTCTTCTTAACTCTGTAACTAAGAGGCATGGGCAAGATCCTGATGTTGAGCTTGAAGTAGCGAATGAGCTTGCGGATTGTGTCGCAGAACTTATTGTGACATTCACAGGAGCTTGACTTCCAGAGGTTGCATTTGAGGTTACTCCACTAGAACCTGTAGCCAGACTTGCAGCAGTGGATGTAGATGCGGCAGCCGTTGAAGTTGTTGGGGCATTACCTGGCGTAGTCGTCGCATAACAGTCACATAATGGCCCAATGTTACATTCACGATGAGCTTGACTATTTGAGTTACTTTCCGAATTTCGTGTATTAGTTAAAGGTGCAGGACAATTAGTTGACATAACAATGCCAAGACACATCCCAAAAGCCAGAATATTTCCGAGCAGAAATTTGGACCCCATATTGGAGCAGTTGAATATAACTGAAGGAGTTTGGAAGAGAAGTTGAAGTATTTCTAAAGGAGGTTTTTGTTCGGCTACGAGGTCGAAACTGGTTTGTTGAGTATTTTGCCTGGCTTTTATAGTCAATATCGTTCTGGTTGTTCATATTAATTTCATGGAGATTTGAATTTTATCTTCTTTATTTTGTTTATAAAATTCGTAAAATTAATTTTTAAAAATGTTTTGATAGACGGTTTTATTTTTCAGATTTATCCCAAATTTACCGTACAGCACTTTTATTTTAATTGTCACACGTTTAAAATTTATTTTGATTTTCACTGAGTTTTTTAGAAACACTATCACGATTAATACGAAAAGATTTGAATTTTATTTTTAATTTGTTATTGAAACATTCGGACCGCCAATTTTACTTTATGTTTAAATAAAGATTTAAATAATTTTTGATAGACATATTTACTTTTTTGGGGATTATCATTCATAAATAATCGCAACACTTAAATTTTCGTACAACACCTAACATTTAAAATTAATCTTATTTTCATCAGAGAATTTCTAATAGTCTTATCACACTCGAGATAAAGTACAAACAAATACGTTTTTTTGGTTTTTTAATTTGTTAGTTACTGGAAGGAGAATTATCAGAGGAGATACTGTACGAACAATTCTCCTTGCACGAATAATTCCCTCTCTTGATTAATTCTCCATGCTAGAGTTGGATTGAAACAATAATTCCCCACCCCTAAATACCCTACTGCACGTTCAAATACCAAAACGCGAATTTTTTTTCTAATAATTTTTCTAATTTTTTTATAACCATATTTAGTGTTTATTTCAATATTTATATGTCGGCGGTAAATTTCAATTTTAGGAAAATTTCAATTTTTCCGGAAAAATTTAAATTTTCCGACGATTTAGGAAAATTTCAGTTATTAAATTAATTTAATAGTCTCTCTAACACTATTTCGTTTGTTTTTCGTTTTTTGAGTATGTTTACGTTGTTGTCCCCATAGGTTTACGTTGTTTGTTTTCGTGTCGTAACTTTATCCAAACTTATCCATGGTAATCTTGTCTAGTTCAAGAAATTTATAGATAACCTTGAAAAAAACAAAAACAAACATAGAAAACACAAACAACACCAAAAAACATAAAACTAGCCCAGACTCAACTGACAACTTTATTAATAAATGAAATCGTATCTACTGGGCTAAAATGCCTTATAATCTCTACACAGCTAAAATGCATTAAAATCTCTACTCGGCTAAAAATGATTAAAATAACTATTCCTTAAAATCTCTATTCCTCATAATCTCTACAGGGTAAAATGCCTTAAAATCTCTACACGGCCAAAAATAGGATAAAATGTCTATTTTTTCATTCGGAAGCCTTTTGAGTGCCAACGTTCAGTGCGGAAACGTTGTTCTGATTTCTGGCTTATCTTTTGATATTATTTTGCTTGTATTGTTTTTGCCGCTGCGGATGAACCCAGGCATGTCCAGCGGAACGACAGCAGCCGCTTCGATACGATCACCGCAAGCAAAATGAACACGACCGCAGCGAAGCAGTCGTGTATTATGTATATCTTCGATATTTACAGCGGATACAAGCAGATATCCGCAGCCATTTTTAAATCAATTATATCCGTATCCATTACCAAGTCTGGGTTTTCCAATGAATAGTTCATATTTTACACTTTTGTTGAGACTCTACCGTCCATTTGCACGGTGTAGAGATTTTAATTATTTTTACCCCAGTAGAGATTTTAAGGAATAGTTATTTTAAGGAATAGAGATTTTAAGCATTTTTACCCTAGTAGAGATTTTAAGGAATAGCGATTTTAAGGAATAGAGATTTTGTATGGGAGCCAATGAAATTTTCCTAAATCGTCGGAAAATTTGAATTTTTCCGGAAAAATTGAAATTTTCCTAAAATTGAAATTTTCCGCCGACATATATACACATTTCTGGATTTTATATCCATATTTTATGTCCATATATTTCGATTTTATATCTATATAAAAGGACAACCTATTTAATAAATATGTATGTATTTACAAAATTTCTTACTCAAAAAAGTTGAAAATTTACTCATAAAATAAAATATTTTTTTTGTCAACTTGAATAAATGCAAAGAATTTAAATCAAAAAATATTAGATAAAAAATGTTATACTATGTATAAAAATGGGAAAAGTGTAAATTTACAATTGAAAATATCGAAATGACGACTAATAATATTAAAGAATCTTTAGTAAAAATTAATAACATCAAAAATAATTTGGAAAATCTTTAAAAAAATAAATTTAAATAAAAATCAGTCGTGATTCAACAGGAAAGGCAATGAAAAGAAAGAAATTCTGTCATAAAACAACTTTCATTTAACTCAGAATTAAAAGATAATAAATATAATTATAATAAACAAGATGGATTTCAAAAATAATGTTTTAATAAATAAATAAAATATACCATAAAACTGTATTAATGCCCCTCATCAAATAAATACCCCGCTTGTATTAACTACACTCCGCCACATATTTATATGAACACCCCTAAATATCGCCTTTTACCGTATTCATATGTCGAATATTTTTTTAACTTTAATATGTTTTAGAAATCGGCTAAAATGGCCCTAGAAAAAAGAAAATCATTTAGCTAGAGTTCCGAACAATAATAACCCTATCTTAAATAATTACCCCCTATTTTTCCTACACTAATTTAAAAAATATCTGTTATAAAATAGTTTTAAGTTTTACTAATTTTAAGGATAAATATAAAAATAAATCTAGAGATTAAAAGAATATGGGGAAAATTAAGTCGGATATCGAGGAGCATTTGGGATATCGAGGAGCGATTTCCGATTTCCGACGTTTTTTTCCTTCCGATTTCCGTGTTCCGGAAATTTGAAAAAAATTTTTTCCATAATTTTTGCGTGCGGCGCTGAATAAAGAAGAAATCTGGCTTCTTGACTTACAGAATTCTTAAAATTTTCGCCTGCGGCGTTGAAAATGGAGGACTTGGAGCCCAGATCTCCTTTATCCTTCAATATCCACTGATATCCTCACCCCTTAATATAGCAGATATAAAGGTGATAAATATTTAATATATATAGTTTATAATTAATATAATTACCCTGGGTAATTAATACAGTTTTTACGGAAATGATTATATGGATTGGGGTCTGTAAATTCGAAATGTTAAAAATATAAAATTGCCATTTTTCTCAAAAAAATATATATTTTGGAGCTTGAATTTGTGATAAATTTTTGTCTAATCCTCCAGCCATTTCTTTCTTTTAAAAATATTAGTTAATATTTTTTGGTTTTTTAATAAAATTATCAATTTTTGTCTTCAACTCTTTATATTCTTCCTTATTTTGTGCCCTAAAATAATATTTAAGTTTATTTTTAATTAGAAATTCCAAACTAACTTTATTTTCTTTTCCAAGAATTTTAATTTTTCGTTAAATTTCATTTCTTTTGTTTCAAATTTCTAGAAATTTATTGCATAATGTATATTTAAATGGTTGCCATGGGCCAACCAGGGTGGGTGATTTCCGATCTATTTCCAGGAGAATTAAGAAATTCAGCCGGAGTCGGCTCGTTTAAAAATCCGGAATGGGATTCAGGTTAATTGTTATAAAGGAATGGAATCGAATCTGATTTTGAGATTTGCCGATTTTTCTTGAGCCGTCTAAATTTTTCCGAAGTTAAGGTTCTATGTCCGAGTTATTTTCAGATTATTTTGAAAAGCTCAGGATTATTCAAAAGTAGCCTAGAAAAGTTTTGGCCAGGTGTTCGGTCCGGTATCCGCCTTCAGTGAATCTGTCATAACTAGAGCCAGGATTTTTAGGCACGATTAAGATAAAAATAGGCGCCTATATAGGCACTAAAAACTGCCAAAATAGAAACTAAAATCCGAAAAAATGCAAAATAGGCAGGATTTTTTCGAGATTTTCTGATTTAAATTGTATAAATTTTATCAAAAATGATAAATCTAAGCAATAAACTGTTAAATAAATTAATTCTGACGAACAGAATTACATTAAATTATTTTATATTAATTATTTTGTTTCCAAAAATAATTTGATATATTTTTCAGAAGAAAATTTTTCCAAAAAAATTTTTTAGACAGAATTTTTTCATAAGATACCCAAAAATTAGCACTTTTTAGTAAAAATATCCAAAATAGGCTGAAAAAAGGCAAAATAGGGCACTTTTCCAGAAAAAGTTAAAATAGGCAATTTTAGGCAACGATAAAAGTAGTTAGAAAGCAGATTTCAGTAAAATAACACCGGATTTGAACGTTTCAGCATCAGGCCTATCTAGGAAAAAAACAGGCATTTGCCTAAAAATCCTGGCTCTAGTCATAACAGATCAGGAATTGGATCCGATTTTGCTATTTTCCTATATTTCTCGTATTTAATTATTATTCATTATTACCTCTTTAATATAATCATCAAATATATTTTTCTCAATTTTTACTAATAAATAAATAATAAAATAAATTAATTTTTTATTATTTAATTTAACGAGCGTTTGTTCGCCGCTTCGCGGCGAACAAACGCTCGTTTAATTCCTTTTTTTGAAAAATTACGTTATTGCGTTCTTTTGAAATTTTTTTAAATTTTCACAAAACTTTTTATGTTTAATTTTGGTATTTTTTTTTGCAAAAATTAGATGGTCTTTTTTTGGAATTATTTAGGTTCATATTGTTAATTTAATGAAATTTTTCTGGTGTTTCGATAAAAGCGTATTTTTCAAACGATACTTCGTGGTTTTGTTTTGCTGTTATTTTCCGCCTTCTGACGTTTTTCGAATCGTTTTTAATACTTTTCTTCTTTTATTAGAAATTTTAAATAATTATTTGCTTTTTTTAAAATTTAAAAAATTTGTTCGAAAAGTTGTATTTAAAATTTTATACCTTTTTTTAAAAAATTAAATAAAAATATTTTAAACTTTTTAATGTTTTTAAAAGTTAGTTTAAAAAAGTTTTTGGTTTTAAAAAGTTTTTGTTTAAAAAAGTTTTTGGCATTTTGTTTTTTATTATTCAATACTTCTTTTCAACATGGTATATAAGCAAAACTAATTTGCATAAATTCATTTTACTTGTCATTTCTTCTCTTTTGAGCGTTCCTTTTCCTCGTTCTTTTTTTTATCTTTGTATTCAA